AGCTCGATTCATATGCCTCAAGTATTGCCCCATTTATTTCTTCGAGATCGATTTCCAGAGCAAGTGGGTGCCTGGGCCCCTTTTTTGTCTGGATAAGTGCTAAATTTTGTTTTAAAATAGTGTTGTATTTGTCCCAGTCTGTTTTTCTAGGATTCCTCCTGAGGATCGTCTCAGGAATGTCGCTTTCTAACGTAAACACAATTATCTTGTGATCAGATAGAGATGCTTCACTCGATACCCTCCAGTTTTTAACTAGATCTTCAATGCTCGATATGCCTAATGTGATGTCTAATACCTCACTGTTTGCCCTTGTTACAAATGTTGGAGTATTTATATTTCGCGAGCAGGTAGTATCATTCCCCATCCCCCTTGTAAATAAATAAACATTATTTAGTTAACATTGTATTTATATAAGATAATGGGTTAATGAGAGCACGATCTTACAATATTATGAAGAACTAACTGGTGAAAAACGAGTTAATATAGAAGCAATTTTTTGTCCTAACTAGCACTTTTATGATCTTTCAAAAGGCATTCCAAAGAAAATGACTTATAAATTTCAAATCGACTGATTTCGGAAAATATACAATATTTCCATATTCTAAGCGGATCACATATTATCTGTTTGTAATTGAGGTTAAAATAATTTCAAACGGCAACTTTGAGATGAAATAAATGTTTTAAATGATTGTTTCTTTTTACTGAAAATAATAAATTTATCAATTTTCAATAGTAAGACGACCTAAATTAGACCTATGTTTATTATGACTAAAAATTAGATTTTTAAATATTATATATTCGGAAATCATTCAATTTAACTATTGGTCTACACATAGGTTAGTAAAAAAAAATTCTTTTAAAATTCCATTGGAATGTTTGCTAATCACGGAGTAGCAAACCAAATTAATTCACAGATGAACCTATTAAGAGTAACCTAATTAAAATGTTTCTCTTTTTGTACGGTCCCTATCTTCGTAATGGACAGCTCCATTTTCTAATGCCTTCCGTGCCTGAATGTCCAATTAAATTCAAAAGCAATCAATTTTATGATAATTTTTGTGACTTTGGGTGCTTGCCGACAAAGCCACAGGTAAGAAATTTTTTAGTGACTGTGTAAAAATAATAACTGCATGTGAGTTTTAATAGGACGGCGGATGGTTGGTTGATTGTGCTTAGATTGTAAAAGCAACAAAACAACTTAACATCCTCTTTATTCATTGGCGTGTTGTTTTTTCTGAAACATTTATTTTGTCAAGGAAATTGCTATTATGATCGTTGCTTGATTTCTAATGAATACATCTTAACGAGCCTTGGCTCCATTTACAACTTTTTTATGAGGAGTAAACAGAAAGTACAATAAATCTGTCTCGATATTGCATACAATTTTACTTTATAATGTATTATTTTTCTATTAAATTAAGATAAGTTTTTTCCCTAAATTATCATTTATATAAAATATTAAAATCAATTAAAAACATTAAATTTAATCAAGAGTATTCCTTGACCAACTATAAGTAATTTAAAAATAAATCGGTCAGATTCAGATTATTTTTGAAAGTAACGCAAGATTTCGATAACTTTGGTCTCAGAGACTAAACATCCTATGTTGCATAATTCATTTATGCAGATTGCCTGTTTATAAAAATATATAAAAATTACTTCAGAGAAAATAACGCATCAAAATTCTGCATGCATTGCATCAACTGTGTTTAATTTTTTTAGACTAAAATAACTTTTTAATACAGATACGTTTTATTGATTCTACTTTTTTTTGTTGTTATAGTTTTTATGAAGACATCCTATATTTTCATATTGTGAAAAAGTTCAATAAGGCCACTTCAGTCTTTTGTTAAATCTTATTTATACCACTGCCATTAATTATAAACATAAACAACTTCTAATAGTGCTTTTACATTCATTAAAACAAAATACCAACAGCAACAAAATCAATTATTACTTTTCTATCTGTATACAGATATGGAAAGTATAGTTTTCGACGGATTTTTACGTTTTGGAGTCCTCTGAATCCGTTTGGACTATTTTCGCGATGATGTCTATGTGTGTGTCTGTATCCATGATAACTCATGAACGGACACAAAGAAAAACACCAAATTTTAAACTTAAGCTTTATTCCAGCCTGCCGTGAACTGATTAGATTTTGGGCAGAGTCGGAACATCTGGGGGGTACTTTATAGGGGGTCGTTTTTATATTTTATGGAATATATCTGTTATTAACGTTTGGAGAAGAAAATTATTTAAATAAAAGTTACTTCTATTATATTCTATATTATTCTCTATAATTTTTGTTTTATACAAAATTTTCCTAAAATGGACTGTATTCGAGAAATTTTTCAAAATGTAAAAAAATCTGATTTTTAATAAAATTATTTGCGATATCGATCTCTATAATTTTTGTTTTATACATGATTTCTCTAAAATAGATCGTAATGGAAAAATTGTAGGAAAAGTATAAAATTTAAATTTTTCAGCATTTTCATTGGCAATGAGTGTACCTATATAGAAAAATGTTTCGAGTTAGATATGTATGTGGAAAATGTATATATTAAGTTAACCTCTAAATATTTACAAAGGTTGTACAAAATAACCGAAAAAGCCTCTAATAACTAGATAGGAAATAAGTCATGTGTTGGACACATCAGATTTTTTAAGTTGACTTTTAAAAACTTCAATACTAAAAATTTGTAATAACGAATTCGTTAATTATTTATAGGTTTGTTTATTAAAAATTAAAAAAAGATAAATAGAACTAATCTTGTTCAGTCTGGTGGTCTGTTTTTCTATATTTTGGTTTGGCTGACGATTTATTTATGTTACCCTTTCAATACTGACTCAATTTTTTTTATTAGTCCATATTCATATCACAAAACTCTCTTATTTGATAGAATGCATTGGCACAGACCGCCTAATTTTTTTTGTTAGTTTGAACTCTTTGTTATTATGCGCCACCCTTTCTATCCGAAATAGACTTATATACCTACAACCTCGTCTCATAAAATAAATGTGAACATAGATGTGATCGTGATCCACCCTAATCTATCACCTATCAGACAGAAAAAAAAGGAAACATTTAATTATAGTAATATTGATTTTTTTATTGTTTGAATAGGTTGTCCAATGTCTAACGTGATTTGCTACTAAAAAATATATATAACCATAAAATAATTCCGGTTCCACCTACAAAATATAGGACATTGACTTTAAATATCTACAAAAGAAACACCATTTCGTATAATTTAAACAATGAGAGAAGTATAGGTGTATCTATATGTATGTATTTGCACACAATTTAAATACATGTTCAACAAGATTCCTTTGTTAACTCAATTACATAATTAACAAGCTTTCAAGATATTTACACTCAAAAACAAGTAATGCATTTTTGTAACTACCTACCTGCATTCCTATAAATAATGCGTGGAATACCTTCAAGTCCCCTTTGCTTTTTTATTACTCTAACACGTTTAACTTTTGAAATAAACGGTCTTTACGATATAAGCATTTTTTTACATTATAGTCCTAGAGCGAGGAGCAAAATAAAGGTTTGACAGAGGCATTTTAACAGAAATTCGTGTCAAAGAAAGAGAAAATAAAATACTGCGTCAGGCGGTCCCGTTTTTTAAAACAGACGATGTAAAAAATGTTAAAAAGAATGCCTTCAATATAGTCATCAATTACCATATTGATTTTTTGCATATAATTCATTGGTTATTCATTTGGATAGTAAAAAGAAAACTTTGGCAGACGGTCGCATTTATAAGACAGAAGGTAAGAAAAAAATTAGTTAGGGTCCGATTACAATTAGAAGAACACCGCTACGTCATAACCAACTATTAATAAATAAAAAATAAGTAGGTAAGTTGTTAGGTATAAAACAATATTTGCCAAATTTCTATAATATTAACACTGCACTAAACCCCCAGTAGGCGGAGATAACCAATTAATTACATTTCCAAATGATGACGTAGCTGTGTTCTTCTAATTGTAATCGGACCCTAACATATACCAGGATTTTTTTAGTATATTAGTATGAGGTAAATGTACTTCGATTTTTTCAAAATTTTAATAATAGTGGCGACCTCCTGCAGACGGGTGTTTTTTATTTGGTATTTTTATAATTTTACAATACCACTGTCAAAACTTTGGTAACTTAAGAGGCAAGTTCATTTAACTCCAAGCCCTAGGACTATTGTAATTACAGTTTTTTGAGGATTGAAAAATAAAAATCTGACCAAGGAACAAATATCAGATTTTATATAAAGAGTTCCTGTGAACTAGTTGAATAATAAAAAAAAATATATCAATACAATGAGAAAACATTTTTAGAGTTATGTTGAAGTTTATTTTTTATAGCCGATTCAACTTTAAAAAAAATATGTTTAGGTAGGTACCTTCCTATGTCGAAGATATGAAAAGTTGTTTAGAACGACAAATTAAGATATTTAAGGAATAAAAATATAAAAATAACAAAACTTAAACGATAGGTATAGGAATTAGTTAATACATTTTGTATTTTTTTTTTAATTTTAATACCTAGGTACAAAAATTCTAATAGTAAGTATTATTACCTACTGAAAATCTGTTTAATAACATTTTTGATTTATCTGAAATAGAAAAAAAAATTCTAGAATTCTGAATTGTATCACATCTAATTTTTAATTCTGAACAACTTAAAAAAGTACAATTATGTGCAGAACTTGGTAATTCTTAGTTTTAGAAAAATCAAGGGTTAAATCAAAAATGTTTTGATCTTTTACACCTATTCATAGGTCGATCCAGAGACACTGTATATTTTTGTTAAACAACTATTAATATGTCAACTATTGAGTTGACATCTATTTAAAGTAATCTTTTATACAAATAAAATTGAAATAAAAAACAAGAAAATTTCACAAGCTATGTTCTTGTTCCCCTTTATTTTATATCTTGGTTACATTAGAGTTTCGCATTATTATTAAAGAATAGTGAAACAAATTACTTACATTGGAAATTTCCAAAAATAACTAGCACTATAACTACTCCCTTTGGAATCATTTCATAAAATATTTAACCGGTAAGATAGATACGCGCACTACGGACAGTTTGTAGAATACTTAACATAGATCCAACAATATAATATCGAACTAACAAAACAGATAAAAAATATATGAACAGGAATGGGTGCAGCTCTCGAGTGGGCAGAAAGGCTCTGATTCGAAATATTTGGGACCGAAAGGAATGCACTAGATTATCTAGATTCTCATCAGCTCAGCTGTTGATGAAGGTAGGTAAATACGTTTTATGGCTGTGGTTGCCTCGTGCAATCCACACTCATGCTTTTCGGCGAGCGGACTATTCTTGAATGAAACTCTCGTAGTTACCACCTTATGAATGAAAGCTTTCTATCTGCCTGATGGCTGGAAGAATATTACAACAGCCGGACGAGGTTCCGCTTGGCGACTGACTATTGACGATCGCGGAAGAGGGGCCACACTTACCCTGATGTACCTAACAAATTGTGGAATTCTCACATGGAACCCCCGAATATACAGGATACAGGGTGTTTCATCGGAAAACCAATGAAACGGAATTAGCGTCAACTCTCAATAGAGATCAAATAACATAAAATGTACATAGCTACCATACTTTATGATTTGGATATGAAACCAACTGATTAATTGATTGAAAATGGTCAGATTCTGAATCAAATAAGCTGGTTTTTTATTTGAGGTTATGTCAGCGGTGTTATGACTTCATTTTTTAAACAATAGTACGGGTCATATGTGATACACCTCATTTGAAAGGTAATTTTATTGGAATTGAGTAATATAGATATAAATACACCATAAATGGGAACAAAAATAGTGACATCCAAAGTGTAACATCTCATATGAAAGACAACTGTATATTATAGTATTATACCACACCACGAAACTTCTTTAATGCTTTGTGAAATAGGCAGACATTTAAAAATAAAACCTGTTTTAGGATTTTTTTTTAAATTTGATTATTTTCGAAAAATTTTATTTGTTCCATAATTTAGAGTTGGATACTTTTTATATGTATCCGAAAGCTGTATTTTTCAAATTTTTCATAACCGGTCTTCATAAAAACTTTGATAAAATAATCGAAAAATTTCTTTATATTTACCTTTTGATTAACCCTGTATAATAAGAAATTAAATACGTGTTTTTTCAATACTACAATGCTTAGAATCTAATTGGAATACTGAAAAATAGTAAAAAAATATTTATTATTTTATTGTAACTTGTAATTTTTCTTTAGTACACCCTATTTAATTTAAACATTTTTTTTATCATTTATCACGTTACATCCTAGTATTTTTTTTAACAAAATGCTGTGAACTCCATCGTTTAGGATAAATTTCGATGATTCACCCAGTATACAGACGATCGGGATTCAGCATCAAAGGCTCGCGACAAGTTTTTACAAGAAAAATCCTGCTAAATCTTGTCTACTGTTAGGACCACGAACTTGTGGAAGTTTCTACACGTTTATTTATGTTTGAGACTATGGTTTTTTTAGTAGTTTTTATTTCCTGTTTCTATTATATCGCTTTTTATTTTAGATATACGCTAGAACTATGAACCACATAAACAACGTTCTACCATAATCTTTTGATTCTCATGAATATATCAAATTTCCAGTAAATTTATTATTTTGACGAAGTAATTGTAACTTGATACTCTTTATCTTTTAGAAACAACAGAACAACAGTAGATCTGGGTTTTGAGAATACTGAGATAAATAATATTAATAACACTGATAAACGAATAGAAATTGAGTTAATGGATAGTGATAATGGATTTCATAAAAATATTTAAAATTTATCACGTAGAGTAGAGCTTTTCAACCTTTTTTAGGTTCCACCTGTTACAATTTGAAATATATAGGCTGTTTCTAAATAGTATGTCAATATTGAAGGAGTAGTATTGTGTGGTGTACCTACGGGGGGATATAATGGATATATCTCTCTCTTGGACTTGGTTAAGCTTATAAACATCCAACGACTACATGAACCTAGATATTAAATTGAAATGGAAAGAATAAACAAAGAAAGAACGTGAAGAACTTAGTAAAATATAGAAAACTGTACTGGTTAATAAACAGAAAATCAAAACTATCAATAGAAAATAAATTACAAATACTAAATACAGTTTAGACTTATAATGACATACAGGCTATGGGAATGTGCCAGTAGAACTAATGTAAATATAAACGATTCCAAAATGAAGTACTACGTGCAATTGTAGATGCACCATGGTACGTAAGGAATTTTGACCTCTATAGATATCTGATGATGCCAACACTCGACGAATAAATCAAAAACTTTGCGCTGCAAAACACGAAAAACACCGAAGCCCTGCAGCAACTCCTGACAACCAACATTTGACGAGAAGACTATATGAAAGTGAAGTGAACAGTTCGCGCTTTGAATACCAGAACCAGAAAAAGAGTAAAAATTTTAAAACACTTAGGTTTTAAAAGTGCTTTAATATGTCTAATAAAACCATATTGGTTTTAAAGTTACCTTAAGATAAATTATAAGTTCTATTTTAATGTCCTATTGATCTTATACTGGTTTTATAATACTCTGGACATTGGCTATTTTAAAACTAAAGGAATAAATAGCAAGTTGGTTTTAACACAATCCATTCTGAAACAGTTTTAATGTAGTTTCATGTATTAGAAAACTATTTTATTTTAAGCCTATGTACTCAATAAAATTCTACATTAAATCCAAAAACATAACATAACAAAAGTTGTCCGACTCTAGCAAACAAAATAAACTCTTTTAGGATTAACAATAATGATTCTCAAGGTAATTTAGTCTGCCGCAAATGTATTTTAAATGCAAAACCTCAGTTAATAAGGTTTAATAAGTAAATTTAAAGTTGCATTGAAGAACTTTTTAAGAATATAAAATTAAAACTAAATATAGTTTTAAAATTTAGTCTTTTATGCCATTTTTGGCTTAGAAGTTGCTTTATGATGGTATTGGGGCTGCCTTGTAGATAATTTGGTTCTATTCGAAATTTTATTGTATAATTTTAAAGCAACCTTAAAGATCGCAATAAGAACATGGGATTCCATTGTGTGAAATCTTATAAGTTTCTTAAGTACATCATAAAGAAAAATTGCTGGTTGGCTATTTTTGCTAGTTGCAATGCAAAATTTCATAAAAAAAGGGTTTTTTTTACAGCGTGACAACTAGTGGCGGCTCGTAACCCAAATATTGGGGGTTCACAATGACAGAATAAAGATCTTATTACATATGTAGGTAAAAAACCTTCAGTGTTTTAGAAAGGTATGATATATCTATATACCTTTTATATTCTGTCATTGTGAACCCCAATATTTAGGTCACGGCGCCACTACTGAAATGGTGTTTTTCGAATTAGCACCTCAACGGTGTCCTTGCGCACATATACAGATATATTAATAATACCGACATTTAATTATGAAAAAAGAAAAATAATCTCTGGCCACAACTATATTTAATGGAACATATTTGAATGTCACCGTAATAATAGTACAACTAAAGCGGTAATAAATGAGAGTTAATGGAAGTCGCGGATTGATTTAATCTGATCTGTTCACACTATAGTGCCGCATTTCCTCTGAGGTCAAAGGTCAATGTTTTAATATCACTTCCACTTCGTACCGCATGGAAACATAGCCGAATCTAATACGGGGGCTGTTTTGTAAAATTGTAATAGGTCATGGATGCGCACCGAAACAAAAATGTTTGCCCTTGGACCAAACGAGCCAAGAAAAGGAGAAAAAGAATGAAAAGATTAACCAGAAGGATAAATACACCCACATATAAAAATAATACACGTATAAATAAGTGATACGGACACCAAACCCTAACGAACTTGGTCCAAATAATAATCAACTGGACTCAACTGTGTCCAAGAAGTAGAGGGTTATAGAAGAGGATATAAAACTATTATATAGATTGGAAAACAAAGTGTAAGAATGTGAATAGATGAAATTATAAATTCATCTCATCAAATGGATTAGAACGCTCATATGCCAGGATCGTTTTTCTGTTGCATGTGTAAAGATTGTTCTGATACAACCTAGATCAACCTAGTTTTATCACCTAGATTTACAATCTAGTTTCAAAATCTGGTTTTACACTCTTGATTCCAACGACTTATAGTTTAATTTTGTTTTATAGACATTCTCGTTTCCAATCTCTAATAAAAACTGTAGAGACTTATTAAAATTGCTCACCTTGCTTTTATTCCATCTAGTTTTTGAACTGAGTACTAGCAAGCTTTGATTTTGTTTACTATAAATGGAGGTGACACTATTTTCTGATTTCATACTCTCACACAACCCATATCTAGGTATACGAGTGAGTTTTATTCCTTCATGGGTTCCATTAAAGATTAAAATCGAGAATGTATATTTCTTGCTGATATAAAGACGAATCTGATCCAAGAATGGCGTTAGCCAGCAAAATCAAAGTTAAAGTGTTGAAATTAAATATCTATCGTAAACCGTTAAGTTTTAAGATTAATAACAAGTATACTTTTTTCTAATAAAATAACATTCAATTATTTTTTGTCCGATATTTTGAATCGCCCCTGTATATATCAAAGGTTTCTTGGAACCATTTTAATGAGCACAAAACTGCGCAAGTTTTGTCTAATTTAACCAACTTTCTATCTGTTACTATTTAAGAAATAGCAATAATGTCCCTGCGAAATATCAATATCAAAATTTCTATATACCCCTTTCTCTCAAAAATCTAAAATGGCTTAAAGAAATGCTAACTAGACAAATACAAAAGTAATTCAGGAGCAAATTCCACTAAGGGGTGAAAGCAAATCAAAGAAAAATTGAAAAACTGCTCAAAAAAGAATGAATTGATACTTTACTAGGTTGTAGATAAAATTATTGTCATGACTACTGAAATTATCACATCTATGTTTAATTAAATGCTTGACAAGTTTACATTCCTGTTTTCCTATTAATATTTGGCTCATCCACTATGGAAGCACTTTTGGGTACACTAATTTGTACGCATATGTAAATAAAGAAAATTAGGTTTTAGATATTATATAAATAAGCGACTGTTGATATCGGTTGAATACAAAGCAAGTGGCGCCAAAGTTGTGTAATCCAAAACCATAGGGTCAGAAAAAAGAAAAGTCCTTGCGCAAGTAGCGTATATGCGAATAGACTATGCGCCCTTCTATTGATTCCCCCGATTCTGTCCGCCAACACCAACACTACTACTCTCTCGAATTCGCCAAGGTGGGGCTCATCATGTCACACGATTATTCGACTTGATTACGATTACAGTGGTCCCGGCTGTTTCCCCAAAAAGACTGGGGCCCAACGCGCATCGCAGTATATGGATTCCTGTCCCCTTTTCGAAACTAACTTTGTGTCCCAAAGATAGAACTCATGATTGGCTCCTTCTGGAACCTCTGTCGTGCTTGCCCTTCGATGCCTGTCGATAAGGTAAATTTTATTTGTTTTATGTTTGTTGTTGGTTAATACTGTTAGTAGTTCCGAAAATTTACAATACAGGGAAGATCGAAAATCAGTTAAAGTTAAAGCAATTATGTTGTGGTTGAGTTCCGCATTGTACCGGTAACATACATCATGCCGTATATAGGTGTCTACTCAATTTAGGATATTTTTTTAAATATATACATATAAATAAGGTATACTACGTTATGAATAATTAAAATTTTATGAATTTATAATTTCGTTTTAATCTATAAAAATAAATAATTAAAAATTACCAACGCAAATTCATAACTTGTCTATATTGAAATTATGCATTGATAGTTGAGGTTATGTCTTATATCTAGTATTTCTATACATAATTAATAAAAAGTGAAATTGATTAATTTATAATATTACCTACAATATTTTAAAATTATACACAACAGAATTTCTTAAATATCAAAAAAAATTTTTTTTTAACAATCTTAATCTACTATTTTGAGATAAAATGTAGTTTCAGTCATATTAAACAATATAAAAATGTATGTTTAACAAATTCATTAAAAATAATATACAGGGTGTTCCATTAAGACTGAGAGATAGAACAACTGAAGATTAAACGAAATATGCTTAGGCAAAATATTACTCATTTCCGAAAGTTGAAAATTCGCAAAAAACTTTGACTATAATTCTTTTATTACCCAGTATAATTTTACTAAAATCGACAAACTTTATGGTGTTATAAGATACACCTATTAGTAAAAAATCAGTTAAATAAACTTTGCCAGTGGCGTACGGCATTGGTAACACCTTTAAATTTTACGCCACTGTTCAAAAAAAAAAAACATATTTGGACTATAATTTTAAATTTTTTGATGTTTTTTAAACAAATCATGTAGGTACTCCTGTTGGGAACTTATAAATCAAATTAAAAATTTCAGAAGGATATATATTGCTTGGCATTCTATATTATACTCTTGACAGTTTAACAGACCCCCTTAACCCACTATTTGTATTCAGAATCAATACACTTCATCCCCTTATAGAACTTGATATTTCCTGAAGGTTTCCAGTTGTTTTTTGTTTGAGCTAAGATTTTTTTAATATTTAAACTGCCCTTAACCCTCTCCTTTTGATGTAGATTTTTTTTCAGAATCAAAACGCTTCATCCCCTTAAAGAACTTGATTTTTACTAAAAATTTTACCTAGATATTGCTTCTCGCTTTTTATTTTCAACCCCCCTTAACCCCCATTTTTAATAATTTATTTTCAACATCAATATGCTTCATCCCCTTAAAGAATTTTATTTTTTCTAAAAATTTCAAATTGATATCGTCTTCGTTTTTGAGTTATCGAAAAATAATACAATACTTTTTCAAATTCACCCACTTACGAGAGAATTTTAACCCCAAAAGCTGAGCTTGTCCGGGGAAATGGACGGCTATTACTATTATTTGTCGTGGAGCTCCGGGGTGACTTAAAGATGATTGATGGTGCCGTTTGACTTACAAGTGAGGAAAACAACACCCACTATCATCGAAACGGTCTCATGGCGATTTTTATTATCTAGATGTTATATAAAAAGAAATTAAATTTCTGGTATTACGGCATTCATTAAATCCTATAGAGAACCATGCAAATAAATGAACACGGTCTTCTGTAGGGTTCGAAGCCAGTGTATTTCCTAAACACAAAATTACTCGCAAATGTAGCCGTAGCAGCTCATGCAATTTTAAATTACTTATACGACTATTAAGAATCAAGCTTGGGACTTTAAATCATTTGTAAAAAAGGCTTCCAATTAAAAAAAAAATAGAATTAAAATGCACCATTCAGAAAATTTAATTTAATCTAGTCACTGATGAAACACTTAGCAATTAAAATTCGGGATACAATTAATTCAAATGCTCAGTTGAATTGCCAAGTTAAACGGAAAAAGATAAAAGAAAAGCAGATTTGCAACGCTGCCCTCGGGAAAACAAATACATAGGAGACTGATTATATTTTATTTTTAATGAGAAATGGTTTTTTTTAGTGGAAAGTGTTTCATGCATGAGTAAAGATGTATGTAGGGTATATAAATATCATCAGAATTGTGCATTAATATCAGTCAATACAGGGTATTCCCTTTAATAATTGTAAAAATACAATTAATATTACAAAATATTTGAAAATTGTATTTAAAGATTTTTTTAAAATAAAGTAACACGCAATTGTTATTTTTCTGCCACTTTTCTCTTTTATAAAGGTTCAATTTAGCATATTATTATTAACTTAAGCAAAATCATCGGCTCTAGTGCATACATTAATGGTGGTTGAGAGAGTGTAGTAGATAGTCAACGAGTAAAAATAGTAACGTCATCTGCAATTAGGAAGCAAACTCCAAGTTCGCTGTGATAACTAGTTCTCTAGAACAAGGCGGAATAATAACCAGACTGGAAATTATTAAAGGAAATAAATTCCAATTTTCAAATGTGAGCTTTTTCAAAATTTTAAAACTAAGTTATGTCGACACAAGCTATAAGCAGGACCCAAGGTTTCATCTATGTACTTAGTACATAATATATACAACTTTAAAATATTAAAAATTATCTCTATAGACGGTAAACGTATTCTTTGATTTTACTTGTAATAAAATTATACTGTAAGTACACAGAAAATGGAAACAACACTGCATTGTTTATCAAAAAGTAAACATACAAAATCTTGTGAATTATGTCAATGTTTATTTTAAATACATTGCAAAAAATTGAGCTGAATTTTCGTATTGTTACAGCTTCACTCTGAATATAGGAGCACATATCGATGGCACGAATATACGGGGCCAAGACAAGAAGTTGTTAGGAAACCACCACAAACTGATAAACCCAGCGACATAAGTGCTACAAGAAATAACGATGACGACTTTCACACTACTGAATCAGGTAAAATTTCATACATTCATTTGTTTTATATGAAACCAATTATTTATAAAGCTTGCAAAAATTGTTAGCGCAACAGTTTTAGTGGAGCGTTCCCATTCTTAAGCTTCAGGGTTTTAAATTCAGGTTGCAGCCAAATTTTTTTCAGATGTATTTTATTCATAATTTCTAATTTTCATGTTGATTATCTTTAAAATAATTTTATATTATTAACTTCCGAAATAATTTTTAAAATTTGGTAGATTTTCGTTATTTTTGGTTGTCCATATCCATTACTATTCTAGCATATCATAACAATATTTTCCTACTCTCAATCAGTGATATTACAAATGTATCTGCCATAAAAATGTATAATTTATGAAGGACTGCTTTCATAGAATAGTGAAGATATTATAGAATAACATTTATTTGAAATGTTACCATTAATTATTTTCTCTTACACTAATTCTCGTGTTAATTTTGTAGTAATTATATTAAATCGATTTGCACATATATGGTTTCTCCTCAATACTGACATGTAATTTTACTCGCAGTGTCTAAACCGGAACCAGCGATGCCTAGAAGAAAAAAATATCCAGATCTAGCCTACCGGCACCATGAGTTCTTGGTGGGTGATGGAACTAATGATGTTAATAGTGCTGATAGAGCTAGGGTAAGTTTATATTTTTACTTCTTATTGTGGTTAATTGAGTATTTATACTAATATTGTTTTTATGCACGCACTGCAACTTTAGTATTGTTTGGAAACGCGACTGCTAAAAGTATTATACAGGGAGTTTGCATTGCTAGTACATTTGAAAACATTTTTTTGCCAATTAATGTCATTAAGTGTAAATAACTTATTTAATATAAATGCCGTTTATATTATACATAATAAAGTTTACAATAATATAAGTAACATTTGCAAATATCTGTTTCTTTTTCCATTTTCTTGTATAATTTCACTGCAGCAATTATCGTGACACAACTATGTATGCTAAATGTAAAATTGGGGTTTGTGTGTCATCTTCATTAGGCAACCATGCCTGATATAAAATACTGTCGACTATTGTAATAAAATGTATGCTACAGCTAACTGCAAAAAGTTGCCCGCTCTTTATAGATAGGTGCATAGAAGGGGGGTGAACAAGTGAAATTAAAAATATGGCTGTTTTACCCTCCCTCACCTGTACTCAACTTTAAGTAGGGGACAAAAAACTTCCCTTTATTTACAGTCAGCTGAGGAACTATTACATTCTTTAATAGACGAAGCCTATTGAATCAGCGTTAGAAACTATTATTTTCGTTGTGTATTACATATCGAACGTGGTAATAATGTTGAACATCTTAACTGTTTAGTTCTTTTCTACGTTCATGCTAAAAACAAAACTTTAGTGAAAAAATTGGTTCTTTATTGCACTAGTGAACTGACGGTCTCGTTGAACAATTTCATGTCGCGTGCAATAAACACTTACTTGCATAAATAACTCTTATACATTTTAGACATTAGTAATTATAATTTAAAATAAAAAAAAGTTTGTAAAGTGTTAAAAAATATATTTATTGTAGCATTAATTACGATAATTTACTGTGTCTGTGTAAATAATCAAATTTCATTAGAAATAGATTCTTTTCATATGTACTACACAGTGGCGTCATTACATCTCCCCCGCGGGATGACCACAATTAATTATCTAATAGACATAGACATACTTATAATCTATTCAACTGCGACCTTTGCAAATCGTCTGTGGTTTTTAGAACGTTATTCTCTATCCTTGTCCTTTTTATTTGACCTATTAACTTTCAGCTGTCTGCTTTTAGCTTTTCTGTACCAATTTTCAACATTCTACCCACTAGCTACAGTCAAAGTATCGCACTAACAAAAATTATGTTTACCAGCAACTTCACCTGCATAACTTTTTCTAATATTGATATTTACATCAAGGAATAGAACCTGATGTAGGATCTGGTGAGGCGAGACGTCGTCTTGGCAGGAGGGGCTCGATACCCACTGTTTCAAGCGAACGTGGACTCCATCTCACCGAGATATATCTTCCATAAGCCATAAAGTTATAATAGAACAAATAGAAGAGCCGAAAGTGGCAGGTACGATTCATATCTACACCGACGGTTCTAAAACAATACAAGGCTCAGGATGTGGAATATACTCCAGATTCTTAAACTTAAACATAAAATGGGCTGTGAGCAATAGTGCCAGTGTAGTTCAAACAGAACTAACGGGGATTCTCATAGTAGCAATAGAAATAACCAGAAACAATATCACTGGATGTAACATGCTCATCTATACAGATAGCAGACAAGCTCTACTCACCCTGAACAGACCACGAATTTATTCAGTGTTAGTACTAGAATGTCACGAAGCGTTGGCCGAAGTATCCCTAACCATGTGGTCACCTTAAGATGGATCAAAGGTCACGCCACATCGAAAGGTGATTCACTAGCCAAGAAAGCAGCCAACCAAATACTTTTTGGACCTGGCCCTTCTATTGGCCTGACAAAATCGGTAGTGACAGACCTAATTAAAGAACATTCCCTTGTGAAATTCAAGGAAAGATGGAATGAAACAAGAAACTGCAGAGTTGCCAGGAAGCTCTTAAATTATCCTGACAACATTGCAGCAAACAAATACTTGACTATGACTGGTCATTGCCAAGTACGGAAGCATCTCCATATCATGGGGCTGTCAGAATCCGCACTCTGCAGAGGGTGCGAACAAGAAGATGAGACCATCGAGCACACCCTTTACGATTGTTCGACGCTCTCATTTATTAGAAGATTTGTGTTCGGCGAGTATCGGCTAACACCGGCCAATATAAGAGAAGCACCTCTTGGCAACGTTGTTAACTACATTAAATCTGTAGGCTGGCTCACGAGCTAGGCGGTGCCTATCATCTTAGGAGGATGCACAATGGGCCTAATGAGGCCTATGTGCAGTGGGGGTAACCCACCCTCCACATGTTACAGATACAAAGAAATCAGTTGTGTTGTGAATTTAGGCGATTTTCCCTTAAAGAACTCTTTAGTCTGTCTTTTATTCATCATTCCAGAGATTAATCTTCAATTTTATTCTTTATGCATTGCTTTTGGACTGATGCACAAAATCTCTTCATTTCCCAGGTGACTCCGTGTCCTGGTACCCGACAAGCGAGTGTCCTTCCTTTGCATAAGTATCTCAAAGATGTTTGAAATACAAGGATATCCTTTAGGCTAATTGGAATTGACGCCCTAGTCGTATAAACCAATTCCGAACCCTTCTTGTGTCTTTAATTCGCCTATATACCGGAGAAAAATTAACCACAAAAACTTAAGCGATCAAGTTGATTACTTTGACCTATCATTTATTGTTTATCATTTCGAGAGGTGGAAAATTATATATTGAACAGATTTTTTTCTAAAAACGGTATTTGTACTGAATATGTATTCAATTTACAATTTACAACTAATAAAAACTATTATTTGACATAATCGTAAATATAAAATTATGGTTTTAACCCCAGTACTAGCCTTGTGAATAGTAGATAACTGGTAGTCACGTATATTCATGCCACTAATAAGTTTTCGTTGAAATATATCGGGTATATTTGCTGAAATCAGTTGACTGGAGGCAGATAGCAAAGAAACAACAACAAAGATAAATATTATCCTTCAACTTAGGATTTGTTTTCAAGGTTTTCGGGACACTGACACAAACCGGAATGAGATCCATGCAAGTCATTTGATATCAGCAGATTTGTCCGAAGATAAAAATGTCGCTTTATAAATTGACCTGTACAAAAAATCTCCCATCAAAGTAGTTCTTAATAAACGCAAATGAATTATTATTTAGGTAGTAAAAGAACATTCTCGTTATTTACGCTAATTTATTTAATATTTAGTAAACGTATTTTAGATTGGAATTGGACATTTCTGTAGTACTGAAATTTGTATACAGGGTGTATCAACGATGAGTGGGTGGACGATAACTGCTTCTATATTTGAAATAGGAAAAAATATCTATGTTCCAAAAACAACTACCAATATACTTATCAAAGATTCGTAGAACACCCTATATCTCAAAATCAGTAATTTGGAATAAGAAAATGTTTCCATCAAATATCGTTGAAAATGGTGCATTTTCATTTCTTATTCATAATTTTACCGAAGGGCGCTTTTCCCATACAGGGGCAACCAAAACACGGGATCACTTTTTTTTTTCTAATGGAACACCCTGTAAATAAGGTAATACTAGGTTAGTCCAAATTATGAGCTTGCAGAAAATGTATGGTTTGCCTACTTGATTTCCATCAGAAATGTTTCTAATGTTTTATAAGGAAAGCATGAAAAGTCAATTCACAGCAGATGTTCAATCTCCCATTTTGAGCTATACACAAATTAAGTCTATTACAAACGCTCAATGTCGTTGGTTTCTTGCGGTAGACCTCTTCTTTAATATATCCCTAGATAAAGAAATCTAGTAGCGTGAGATCTGGGGACCTTGCTGGCCACTGAATGGGTCCGTTTCTTCCTATCCTTTTAATTCTGCGCCATCTGTTTTAAAACCCCCAGTTATGCCTCCCCCCAAACATTTATCGACTATCTATTTTGGTTATCAACTCCTCTGACCCAATAAGGATGTCGAGTAGTATAGCGACAAGTTTGTTTATTTCCTTTAAATGTGGACTCGTCACTAAGCAAAATGTATTTCATAAAATTTGGTTTCTTGCGAATGAAATTTAATATATTTTCGCAGTAGCGAACTTTAGTATCATAATGCCTTTCATAGAGTTCTTGATGTAATTCAATTCGGTAGGGATAAAGTTTATTCTTTTATCAATATTCTGTTTACGGAAGCAAGAGTTAGTTCATAGTGTGAACTATTCAGGTATAACCTTATTTACAGTGCGTTTCATTTGAAAAATCTGAGAAAAAGTGATACTGAAGTTTTGGTTGACCCTGTATGAGAAAGCGACATTTGGTAAAATTATGAATATAAAATGAAAATATAGCATTTTCGAGGATATTTAGTGGAAAAATTTTCATATTCTTATTAGTGTTTCCCACCGGTATGCGATGAAGAGAGCTAAGGGGGCCATTTTTGAACCAAGACAAATTTAAGGGGGCGCTGAGGAACAACTGTCGCCCCCTGTAAAATAGTCAAAAGTACTCGATAGAAAGGTTATTCAAAATGTGGGAGGTAGGCCAAAAAAGGTTGGGGAACATATGTTCTAAATTATTAAATGAACCCATTTTGTGAGTTAAATTTAAATGCCGAATCACCTGGTATAAACCCATACAACCTTATACTTTTTAGAAACACTATTCCAAAGAAATGCAATCGAGTTAAACTATACTGGCTGTTTTATTAAAAAAAAAAAACGAATCTTTGATCAATCACACGTATAAAGGACACCCTATATATTGGTATTCTTTCCTATTCTTGTCTTCAGCCGTGGTTATGTACCTAATAAAAGAAAAGATTGCAATTTTCTATTTTAAGAATACATTAAATCCTGCATGACATAAATTCGAAAACCACAGAATTATTAAAAAAAAAAAAAAGGAAACGGCGAAGATTTGTAATAAGAGTATAATTCTCCACAGCGTCTCACAATTTTCTTTCATAAAAATATATGGATTACTCAACATATACGATTGAATTTCAAATGTTCT